CCCCAAAACCCCAAAACCCCAAAACCCCAAAACCCCAGAGTATATAATTTGTGTTGAAAATCTTCTTCCCAATTTTTTGGTGAATGAGAAATTTAACTTAATTTCTTACATGGTTGGGAAAGATATTACCAACGGGGTTTGCTTAGCAAAATGCTCAAAGATTTCATGCTTTGGATCCAGCTTGTTGAAGTTCCTCCTTGCTCCTTTGATGAAGAAATTTGAAAAGAACTGAGTGAGCTCGATAGCAGATGGAGAATGTGGTATCCGTGAGTTTGGGTTCCAGCTGAAACTGTTTTTCTCAGGATGGAACTGGAAGCCCCATATTGGGTAATCCTTGCTTTCGAACATAGCTACATATTCAACACCCTTTCTATCGTAAGAAGTTCCGATAAGGTGATAGTTCTCTTTAAGATTTGAATATTTGTTCCAAGCAGAGAGCAATATTCCGTCATAATGATTGTTGTAAGTAATTCTTTCATTTTGGATTGCAGTTCTTAAATGTTCAGGCATATCATTATACAGTTGAGAATCAGCAGCTGAATCTTTTAAGATGACACTGTCAGCAACATCTCCAGAATCAAATATGCATAGTTCTACAGTGTCTTTGTATGGAGCTTCAATTTGTGCAATTTGCTGCATCCCCATACAAATGCCCAAGACTGGATAATAAGTGCCTTCGTCGTTAAACTCTTTAACCTTGTTAAGAATGAGTTCTACTTTTCTGGAATGCTCAGTCAGAGATCCATCTTCATTTCTAAAGGGGGTGAAACCACCAGGAAGGAGAACTCCATTGAGCTTCGAAACCAAGTTAAGAATTTCTTCATCAGAATATCTCCAGATAATTGGGACAGCTCTTGCTCCAGAAGCCTCAACGAACTTTACATAAGCTGATGCGATGTAATCGCTAGTTTCATTACAAGGCTGAGTAAGAATGCCAACTACAGGACTCTCATTAACTCTGATACTTGTCTTCTTCTGCTTTGTGCTTTTCTTTTGCATCAAAGATTTCTTAAAACTATTTTGATTGGTTAATATGGAGGGAGTTTACACTGTAGAAATAATTTAGTGAATGCTAAGATGTGGTGTTGGTAGATTGAGAAAAATGGTAAATTTTTACCTGGATTTCCATTTGTTTACTATTGAAGAGACCAAAGTCGTGACTAGTAGCTTGATCGTTACTTTTATTTGCATAATCTTGTTGGTGACGTTCACTATTTCCATAAATTTTAACTTTATTCCCTTTCAACCTCGCTGAATAAATACGGGGTTTTGGGGTTTTGGGGTTTTGGGGTTTTGGGG